TCAGCCATTTCTGGCCGGCAACTTTCAGCGTCATTAAGCCGCTGCGCCACCGCGTCCCCTATCATTATCTATAGTTACCTTTAAAACATGTATTAACAAACTGTAGTAGATTAATATATGTGAAAGTAAAGTTGTCACTGGTTTTTTTCCTCATCCAACTTCATAGACCCTCTGAAATTGTAATGGTAGGTGGGAATGACCTCGGGAGACAGGGCAAGAAACTCTGCCTAGAAAACAATCAATATAGTATAGCCAGTATAGTATAGACAGCGTAGCCCCCAGCTGCATAGTGGGCAGGGCAAGAGGCTCAGAAGGGACCCTCCCTAGTTTCTCAGGCTGTAAAGGAGACAGCAGGAGAATTGTACTTTTCAGTTTACAGGATTCTGTTAATATAACAGAAATTAACAAAAAAGTAGAATTAGCTCACCTGCTTTTTTTCCCCCCCTGTCTGGTCTATCAGGTAAGGCTGACAAAAATATATTCATAGACTACCAAGTGGTCTATTGAGCCCAGCTTAAGGATCCCTGGTCTAATGACTCTTTGTCCCATGCTAGACCCCCAAGCCATTATACTGTTTCCCAATTAGCAGAGAATGATGGGATCTGATCTCCTTTCTGCACATAAAAGTGAATAGTTGGGGAAAAGCTGCTTGTAGGGAGTTATTATGGTTTTGGTAACTGGCAAGCTTTACTTGCCCATGTCCTGCTGAGCTGAAATCCTTCCAAGGGGCTGGAAGATGTAAGGTTGGGCCTTCTAACCTTTAGGCTGGCTCTGAGGGCATGGCCCTACTTGGGTAGGTCCTGTGAATTTCTTCCTTGTCAGCCATAGGGCACATAAAGAGTGACTGTCTTCCCCACTTGTCTTCCCCAGCAGTCAGAAGTGTGCTGTAATGGTACATGGGAAAGTCCTTGGTAGAATGGGCCAAGAGATGCTGCCTAGGAAATGGTCAGATAAGAGATAGCATAGCCCACAGCTGGATAGTGAGCAGGGCAAGAGGCTCAGAAGAGACCCTCCCTAATTGCAGGCGTTGAACTCCCCATTTATCTTTCATCTCTGTCACTATTCAGAGGCTGAAGTGCAAATTCTAAACCTATTTGCATTACATACCAGCATCTCATTCAGATTATTTGTTTCTTTAGCATGTCATATGATCGTGAATGCCACTTAATCTCCTCCTTAGTAGTACTGATTTTATGCAATATACACTTTTAAGTGCAGTAAAGTCAAGATATAAAATCACAAACCAGTATCAAAAAACTAACAATGCAACATAAGACAATGATCCATTTAAATCAATTATCTGATCCAAGCACTGCCAAAATTTAAATCAATGTGGAATACTGCCATTCAAAAGAAAGGTTCGTCCAACTTTAATGGTTTTATTGGGCAGGGGGGGAATCCTTTTCAAATCTCAGCTATTCGGATTCTAAATTGAGGAGAGTCAATTCCAAGGAGCAGGAGCTGAATGAGAAAAACCTGGGCAGGTTGTGAGAAAGAAGAAATAGGGGAGAATTGGAAGACATCAAGGACTTTGCTGTTCTGGATGTGAACTAGAGGGCAAACGGCAAAGTCAGGAAGACCACCTAATGAACTGCTACAACAATTGAGACTGCACCAAGCATGAACTAACTGCTTAGCCATATTAATAGCTAGAAGAGGATGTATATTCAGAAGGTGGAAGTCAGTAGTTTTTGTGGTCTTATCACTAAAATTATCATGCATAAGAGCTCCCAAATCTCACACTCCTACAAACATTAGCACCTAATGATTTTAAGAAAAAATATTTTTAAAAATTAAAAAGCAAGTGTAGGAGACAAGGTAGGAGCAACAGGATGACAGACAATCTATCTATCTTTTCAGACAATCTGAAAAGGATCTAATTTATTCTTCCATTTCTGTGGGAACAAAATGTATTGCTATATCTCAATATCCTTTCTGGAACACACAATGGAATCCTATTCACTGACAGGATCCTTAAACATATTCTCATAAAGTCCATATTGCACTGACTTGTATATACCTGAAGAGAAGCTTCTCTCAATCAACTCATGTGGTTGCTGGTAAATGGAATGTACAGACACCCTGGCCACATTGCCTTGAGCTCTCAGAGAAAAGTCAAAGTAGGAAATGCCTTAAAGAAAGAAACACAAGAGCAGGGAAGGCCAGGCTTTCCAGGGATGCCCAGAAAACTGAAGACACTATCACGTCAATAGTGCATGCATGCTTATCTCATGTGGGAAAGTCAAAGGCTTTGGAGAGCTGTTAGGAAATTATGAGCCTGCATGCTCAACACCGGATAGAATTGGGAACATAACAAGGAAAAGAAAACTCAACTGTTATTCCTGTACATACACCAACCCCATGATGTGTATGACATCAGCAAAGGAAATTGCTGGTATTACAGATACCAAACAGATACCTGCAAGTGAAATGAGCATCGACAGTCCTTAGGAGCCAAGAAGTGATACAGCCCTTTAAAACTACAGAACCTGTGCAGAATATCAGTTTGGCCTCAGTGCAGATTCCTTGCAGGGAGCTTCTAGAAGAAAGGTATGAATAGGTAAGCTTTCAAAGAAAAGGAGGCATGCTTTGCTTAAATAAAAAACAAATAAATAAAACCCAAGACAGTGTTGTGTTAAATAGTGTTGATTGCTATTTGTTTATTTTTTTTATTCCTCTGAAATTTCTTAAGCAGGATCCCACCTAGTTCATTCTATGAACAATTCAGTGAATTATTCAGATAATGAAGGATAAGACATTGCTAAATACTCCACAGAACTGCTGCCAATAATTGTAGACCATTTTTTTTTCACAATCTCTTATTTCTTTATCAAATTGTGGGAGCTTTTCTGAAAGACAACATGTTGGGGAAATAGTATAGGGAATACTGAAATAGACCTATCAATTTTTTGACTTTGTAGCATGCTTCTTCTGTGATTCATTTTGCTACTCATTGGAATTTCAATGCAGTAGCAATTGCATATTGTATTTTTCCTCCAAGGAAGTACAACTATCAGCTGAATCGATTTTTGCTGTCATAACCTCCTTGGGAATGAAATATAGAATTCCATACCAAATAGGATCAAAGGTAATATGTATTTTCATCCATACTTATGACTTGTATTTTGCATTAGCACTGGGGAGCAAAGATGCACAAATACATTCTGGCTGAAGGAATACACTTGTTAAAATCACTGATGTATTTAAGTCCCCCCCCCCATGCATTAAGCTTCTATTACATTTAATATGCATATTATGATCACAAGGAACAATTTCTTGACCATACAGTACATGGAAAAAGCAACCAACCATCCTAATACCTTTTACCCTTCAGTAAAGATGTCAGAGGAGAAAAATTCCATGTTTCTCCTCTGACATCTCTACTAAAAACAGAGCTGATGCCAGCAATTTTCCACCAATTTTTTAATATTTTAATTCTCAGACAAGATGTTAACTGAAAATGGCAGGAAGTATACTCTGAGAACATTTGTTGAAGAAAATGATATAGAAAATGGGGAGCATGAGAGAACAGTATTCTGACTTAGTATAGGACTTCTTCTGAAGTTTAAAGTACCACTCCTTGGAACTTCAATCCACTGTACATTGAAGATTTACCCACCCTCCCTCAGGAAATTACAAATAGAAATACCATTTATCTGTTATAAATTCTTCAGGATACTGGGAGTTTATCTGCTATAATTTCTGATGTTCATCCCAAACCAGTTCAATGGTAGAGTTTGGTTTTGGGTATTCTTTATCTGCCATAAATTCTGCAGGAATAACATGGTGATTTTCATCCCAAGCCAGTTCAGGGGTGGAATTTCTACTCATTCTTGTGCA